TACCCATTGTTTCAAATATTTGGAGCCACCTTCGATCAAACAACATTTTGCCTTTAAGTTACAGAGAGACAAAAGGCTTCTGATGTCACCAAGTCTTTGATTTTCTGCGGGGAGCCACACCAAAATGGGTTCTTATCTAACGTAGCCACAGCTATCAACCTGGGTGTGCGTGTTCATCAGAGGCGCATAACCTTTTGGGGCCAAGGGCTACAGCTGGCTTTCGAGCAGCGGGCCGTATTCCACTAAGTGGCTGGGAGCAGGAGAAAACCAAATACTGTATGAAATGCATCAGAATTTAATTTAAATAACTAAATATTCTAAAATATTTTCTAAATTAAATATTCTGTAAGTATATTTATAAATACATGCAATTTCTCCCCATATATTTCATCACTTCCCCCTTCAACCATATTAAATGCTGCAATTCTGGGAGTTGGAATCCACACATCTTAAAGTTGCGAAACTTGAGAAACACTGATTTAGAGGGACTCTGCAGGTGAACCCAAAGTGTTGGAGGTTGTACGCAGCCCTGGGCTGAAGGTTGTGTTCCCCAGTGTGGACCCCTTGAAGGGAGGGGGGAGTACCTTGTCGCCTGGCTGTGGTCGCATGACGGACACCCGGTCGTAACCTTTCCTCAGAAGAACCCAGAGGGCATCCAGCTTTCCCTGTAAAGGAAGGAAACGGTGTCATCCATCCTCTTAGCTACATGGCTGGCACAGGACAAATCAGCTTGTATAGATACAGCAGTCCCAGTGGACGAAAACATATTCATCTTTTTCATTCATGTTTTAAAATTAGAAATCAGAACACACCTTCCATCGCATATAAGAGAAAAGATACACCACCCATCCATGTGCCAAAAACAGAGGGGTCTCCTTCTGAGCCTTTCTAAGACTCTTCGTTGGGGAACAGATATGTGCACGCATTTAACTTTCTCCACATCAACGCAGTCACTGACAAGGCTGGGAAGGAACGTGAAGAGTTGAAGCCTGACACTTCTAAGGGGCACCAGGTTGGAGAGGGCTCTCTAAGCCATTTTGACTCCCTTTTTACATGGCCTTCTGTGCCTGCTCCTACGGAGGAATTCACGGCAACAGACAAATCCTGGTTTCTCACAAAGTGAAATCTGATCTGTGTAGTCCATCCAGCATGGAGTGGTATCATAGTGCCAAGCTCATAATATACTCCTGCAAATATTAGATTGATGGATGGATTGACTGACTGACTGACTGACTTCCAGTATTTATATCCTGCCCCATCCTTGGGCAGAAAACAATAAGATAAAACATGCAGTACAAAAGGAAAACGTTGTGAGGAAGCAACAATGGAGGAGAGCCATTGCCCTCTCATGCATGCCTGTGAGCTTCCTGGCTCCTCCTGGTTGATGACTATGACCCTGAATGCTGGATTTGAAGGATCCCCAGCCGGCTCCAACAGGAATATCCTGAAGGTCTTCCAGGGGTAGAAGGCCCTTCACCAAGCACTTGAGACAGAATGTGCATCTTCCTCCTTTCCCCACAAACATGGAGAATTTCAAACAAGCTGGTGGTCAATCTTCATAAGGTCCGCTCCTCAGGCAGGACACTCAAGCTAACGGTCACTCCAGGGGTCGTGGGGCCATTTGTAAAGCAAATTCAGCCCAAGAAGCAAATTGGCCGCTATGATGAGCCAACTGGCCTGCACAGAAAGTCATGTTGGAAACCTTGCTCAAGTGGGAGGGCTGTGGCTTCTTTGAATAGCTCCCTTGCACGCCACAGACACTATTGTGGTAAATGTATGCATGATGAGAGCCCAGGCCCTTCTGGAGAGCATGTCTCATTCTTTCTGCGCTATAACAGACAGCCCACAGGCTGCAGTGGACACCCGAGAGAGCAGATGTCAGATGCCTGCTCCATCGTGGAAGTCCCACAATAGTTGTGGGTCTGCAATTCTGTCTCTGAAAAAGAAGAGGCCGTGTCAATCCATTAAGACTCTTCAAACAAATGTGGGTAAAAAATGTGGATAAAAAATAAGACAAGATAGCGATATTCCAGATTTCTTAACTATAAAGGAGAAAACAACAATGGAAAGTCATCTCGATAGGAAAAAAAAAACCGGGCTCCTTGCTGTCTCTTATTTCTAACATATTTGTACAGGCTGCTCTTGCATCATAAAACTAGTCTGCAAAGCTTAATTTAAACCAGGCCTTGTATCCCAGAAGGTGATTTTGGTACCAAATTTCTCTTTGTTGCTACGGCATTTTTTCAATACTTGGAGATGCAAGAAAATGTGCCAAGCCTTCAAAAAAGATAGCTTGTAGAAGAGAAGGACATAGAACCATAAAACCCTTATGTGTTGGGAGGGACATTTATGGGTCATCTAATTCAACACCTTTCTTGGGACAGGAATCCCATAAATCATCCCAAACCGGAGGCCATCTAATACTATTGATGTAGGCCAGTGGGGCCCTAGAATATTTCAAGGGGGCTACATGTGAAAAACTTGTAATGGGGGGTCATGGCACATGGTGAGGGAGCCACAGAAAAGCAAAGGGTATTCTACTGCAAATACTGCCTTGTTGATGCCAGAAAATGCACCGGTTACTGTCCCATGTCCATACAACATCTAGGAATGGGACCCGGATAGGGGGGCCACAGGAGAAAAACAAGGTCAGAGTGGGGGCACAGGCGAAAAAAGGTTGAGAAATGCTGATGTAGACTGATTGTTCACCTCCTGTAAACTGTGACCTGGTTCACACATCATGCTTTGCTTAACCGGTTCTCACATTAATGCTTTGCTTAACCATCATTTGTTGACTAAACCATAATTGAGTAAATTACCCCATCAACCTTTTGATGTCTGGCAGCCATATCACACCATTTGGGAGGAGGCAAAGTTGGAAGGGGACAAGGTTAGGTGACAAACATGGGCAGAGCCAGATATCTGAGGGGTTCCCCAGCTCAAAACAGCAAGAAGGTTTGTTGCTGATTCCCAGCAATTGTGTCCAATAAGGGTTGGAGGTTTCAGAAAAGAGCACCAAGACTTCCACCGGGGGTCAAAGTCAAGATGGTGGTGGATGCTACCTTCACTTTTTTGAACCCCCCACCCCCAACTGGGGGGCATCGTATGGCCCTGGAGCCTATGACTGTGTTTTATTCAACCATCTTTCACTGAGTAAAACACTACCCAATGGAGTCACAAAATATACAAAATATACTAAGGCTTCTTCTTGAAGTCTCACTGAAAGTGCTCTTCATCCATCCCTCATGTGTGCCTGTGCCTTCAAGCCAGTTTTTGACTCCTGGTGACTGCCTGGACCAGTCCCTGCAGTGTTCCTGGCAAGGTTTTCAGAAGGGGTTTGCAATTTGCTGCCCCCACTGTTGAGTCCTATCCTGACACAGGCGCATTGATGGCAGCGGTGCTGTCCTTATTCACAGTGTACAGAGCACATTAAGGACAGGGATGGGTGGATTCTCCCAGCTCTTTGTTTTCCCTCCCCTCCCACCAAACGTCATCTGGTGATGGGGAAAAGTCTACCAGCTGTTCTCCTTAACGTGGACTGGGATGAGTTGTGAGTTTTGGCAGGTGCCTGGACTTGTGAGGTTTTAGTCCAACAGTTGACAACCACTAAAGGGGCTCCAGGATGGCACTATGCAATCTTCCCTCCTCCACTTGTCACCTGTTAGTTAGGCTACTTATAAACATGGATTTAGCATTCTTAAACCAGTGTTTAACAATAGCCCAACCTTCCAGCTGACAGGTACACACAACATTGCTTGGTGCAGCAGAACACATTGCCCAGCACCACTGTGTCGCTGACAGCAATTGTTCTGGCAGCTTTCAGACATGAGAAGACCAACCACTGACCCATAGTCAAAAGCAGCCCAAGCCATAGTTGATGGAGGTGGGGTGGTGGTGGGGTTGCACCATGATGTGAGATAAAGGTGGCTCCTTTTCTCCCACTTCATGGTCCAGCTCCCCAACTGGTCCATTGCTGTCTGGGCTATTCCGGGTCTCTCAGTTGGGAAGCTTGCAAGCCCATTGGATACAGGGCAAGAGCCTGTTTGAAGGATCCAGACTCTCCCAGGGTCCGAGCAGAAGAACCTTGGAGGACAGCATCCTGCAAATGGAAGGGAAGGGGACATCCCTTCACTGGCCCAGAGTGGCCAATGGGAGCTGGCCGATCACCGAGTCATTTCACAATGCCACCGCCAAAAAGATTGGTGAAACATGTCAGCTTGTTGGCTCTTTAGGGGGAAAAACATGTCTTGAACTCCAAAACCGTTGGCCTTCACCTGCCTCTGGTCTGCGTTGGGGAGAAGATGAAGGCAACTTTACAGTGCAATAAAAAGGAGAGCTCAGGGCATGTTTATGCCACAGCTAAGTGCAAACAGGGAAAGGCCCTTTGTCATAAGCCACACAAGCCATAATGACTGCCTTCGCACAATACACTAGGCCAAAATGAAAGCAAAACACACAGCGGTTTAGCAGGATGTGTGAACCCAGGGCGTGTAAATAGTTTGAATTTAGTTTGGAGGCTAACATGTGGACACATGCTACAATCGCACAGGAAAAATGGGAAAACCTGCTGGTCCTGGGCACAGAATTCAGCTACCCAAGAATATCAAGTTTATTTTTCTTCCTTTTTTAAAGGAATAAGATTCTAGTCCTTCTACAGTACTGGGGCCTTAAGATCCCAGTAAGTGGCTGGATTGAGTTTCCAGTGGTTCAGGAAGGAGCTTTTGGGCCCTTTACAATTCCTTGCTCTTCCCCAGCTCTGGCAGAAGCAGAATTAATTATGCAAAGCCAAGCAAAAAACAGAAGCAAAAGAAAATAAGTAAGGAAAAAGCATGTGGATGTGCTAAGATTGCCTAATTTGTGCACGCCACAAAATCCAGCTTTTCTTGGCACAGGATGCTGGCGTTTTTAGGATAACCGTGATCATCATGCAGTGGAAGCAATGCTGCTGGTTCAGTGCTGGGTGAAATTCTTCATCAAGATTTACATGGCAAGCCTAAATTCAAAAACCCAAGTACACAACTGGTTAACAGGGAAGGAACGAAGGGGTGGGCCATGGTTAACCAGCCTTTAGAGAACATTTAAAACAAAAAACAACCATCCTAGCTAGCTTTATCCATTAGGGTTTTGGACTGGGTGGTGGACTGGAGGCTGTCTCCAAACAAATTTATGGAATTCCAAAGCCCATAGAGACCTGGCAAGCGCCGTTGGTGGGAATCCAGACACACACGCACACAGACACACACGGTTGCTTGCTTCAGGATTTCTCCCATGAAATAAGGCCGAGAAAGACAGATTATCTCTTCCTACAAAATGGGCCAGGATGCGCCTTGGCACACCGAAAGGTTCCATTTCTGAAGGAAATAGATACCGACCATTGCAGAACAAACCCTGCTCCGATTTTACCCAGCAAAGTTTCCTTACGCACGCAACCAATCTGGGCCTGGCCCTGCCTGCATGTCCAGGAGGTCACCTCTGGCTTAGCTGTAGGGCAAAAGAAACTGCTGGGGGGCCCAAGCATCCATGGGGAGGAGGGCAGGAAGGGGCAAGTGATTACACAAATGATGCAAATTAGGTCACTTGCACTATTTGTGGGATGAGGCCATGATGCGCGTGACGTCATCATGACTTGTTTCAGGTGCCTGGGCATCAGCAGGTGAGCAACAGAGTGCTCCATACTCCAGATCCAACTGGAATTTGGAAAGGGCAGTCTTTCATCCCAAAGGGCTGATAGGAGGACGTTAAAACATGTTCGTGTAAATGCTTTTCTGCATTTTTCAACAAGGACATCAGTGAGGTCACTGGCAGCACTGAGGTTCTTCTTAGAGTTGATGGGCTTCACTTGGCGAGGGACCCCGTGCCATCTTCATTGACTCAGCATCTCTCTCATGGCCACTCCTTGAGGAAGGTGGCCCTTGCATGCTCTCTTGGTGTCAGAATTGTTAGAAGAGAAGACTCCATTCACCCGGCACATTTAACACCTAGTTACTGAACTAAATCATTTTCTGGATTTGCATTATATAATGAATCATAAAATAACCAAACTTTATGCTGGATGTGGGCATCCAGCATAAAGCACAGTAATATCACATGCGCCATGACATCATTGCGCAAATGACACAACTCAGATAATTTGAAATTCCATCAGGGTCATATCATTTGTAAGGATGTCATGACACGAGTGATGTCATTGCTTCTCTTCAATCTGCCTGAGAACACATTATGATAATGATCCTTGAAGAGCCGCTCTTTGGAGGAGAGGGGGGGACAACTAAATTTTGAATGAATGAATGAATGAATGAATGAATGAATGAATGAATGAATGAATGAATGAATGAGTAGTCCATATTCTAGGCAACCTAAGCTGGGGTGTCTGCAGGGAAGACATCCAAAAAGTCAAGATGGAGGTTGTAACAGCATGCGCAAAGCCTTGTGGCTTTGGAATTGGGTCTCAGCCACAATGCCCATTAAAAGGAGTGTGGCTTCAGTCATCCATCATTGCAGTCACCATCTTCACTTTTTGGACCTGCCACAGGGATGCCCCTGCAGTAAGCCACACAAAGCCACCCAACATAAAACTAACCAAGCTTGGCAGCCTGGAGGTCTTTAACCGCCCTGGTTTAGGGTGCTATGGGAATGCCACCAAAAAGAGAGGGGTGGGAGTTTAAGTGGGGCTAACCAAATGTGCTACAACCTGAGAAAGAGCAAAGTTCTGTCATATTAGTTTCGTAGTGCCAACTTCAGGAGACATTTTGGAAGTCTGATGTCCTTCATGTGCACTGGCAGTCCTCCATCCGTCCTCTCTCCCACAACAAGAAAAAAGCTTGTCAAAATCACCCCTGAAGTTAGGGAGATGCGACGATCACCTGCCCATTCTGTGATGATGCTGTGAAGTGGCCTTGAGCACCAGCAAAGGGCATCCAGAAGCAGATCAATCCTTGGATGGGTCCAGAGGTAACAGGCTACAGGAGACACCCTACCCTGCTGCCGAATTCACAACCATTGTGCATGAACACACACTCACCTGGAGAGCTGTTTTATATGCAACAACAGTGCACAATCATTGCTTGTTTCTGTGCTGTTTTGGGGGGGAAAAGGCTGAATGAATTGATGGGTGGTAGGGCACCAAAAGATTAAATCAAATGTTGATGTAATAAACAGAAAAACCCTTTTCCAGCCAAGGGGGTTTCTCTCTGTGTTTCTCTCTTTGGCTAACTCTGCTTGCAGACTGTCAAACATGGCCAGGAGTTTTGGCTCAACACACTGAGAAGTGGAAGCCGGCTTGCAAACGGCGCTCTTATATTTTGTCTCGTACCTTAGATTCTATTAAGGCTGGAAATGGGGAGGATTCCAAATCCAAGTTTATTTTATAAGTTTACTGCAAGTGAGTGGGGTGAGGGGAAGAGACAGAGAAGCTCCCTCAGGGGGAGGGGGATGTTTAACTCTCTCTTTTCCAACCACTTTCCAACC